CCAGCTGGTCTCGAAAATCTCCTTCAGCACCCTGCCCGTCTCCTGCTCGAAGAAAGGAGTCATTTGCTGAAGACCGCTGCTTGGGCACGCCACGTTGAGAGCCTTGATCTTCATGCCCTCCTTCCAGCCGGGTAGTTCCTTGACGCCCATCTCCACCAGCCTCAATGGCGCCACTTTGGACGGAACCTTCACAGGTCGGGAAGACTTGGGAAGCTTCCGACCCTCGCAGACCGAGCACGAGAATCCCAGGGCCATCGCCATCACCATCTCGCTAGCCTTCGCGTGCTTCAAAATGCGCACCATGTCCTCGTTGCTCGGGTGCCCCAGATTCGCGTGGAGCCTGCGCAGGGACGATTTTAAGGATAGCTTTCTTCTCTTTACGATCTCGGGGTCCTCAGTCACCGAGAGCACCTCCGTGTGATACCTGATGTCGTCCACCTCTAACTGGCACAGTATCGCCGCTGCGGTCTTCTTGCTCAGCTCCTTCGGATACCTCTCGGAATATTGACTTCTCTTGACGCCTTGTACGCTGTCCCAGCACCATTGATGTTCGTGGTCCCGGCGACAGCGCAATTCTTTCATCGTCCACTTCAGCGAGTCCGCGTTGGTTGCGAAACACCACTCCTTCGACATCGGCATGCTCGTGACAGGATCGCGAAGTCCGACTCGACACCCACTCACTTTCTCGTTGCACAGATTCCACACGGTAGCACAGTCCCAGGACTTCGCATTTGGTGGCGCTTCTATGGTGAAATACTTACCCTTCCTGATCTGCATCTTTGCCACCACGACACAGAATCGCAGGTACCCGGTGGCCTCCCTGACCATCTTCCGATGCTCCTCTGGGTCCTTTCTGCTCGACTCCGGCGTAAGATTCTGCAGAATGGACAAGGCGCCACACGGAGGGCTCATGCCGACAAACTCGGGCTCCTCCACGTCAATCAGATGCAAGATGTGGTGCCTATCTTCGGCTCGTCGGGCGCCCCAGCCGTTCTTCAGGTCGAAGGCGCCGAGGTTCTGGAAGCCCAGGTTCTCGAACTCCACCGTCAGCCGCGGCTCCGAGAACAGTTCCAGACACCTCGGTTGCATCCCTAGCCGAGCCTGTGCTGCCTTAGCACCCTTAACCACCTCCTTCTTGGCCTTCCTACTCATGATGTCCGTCACTCCTGCGGTCAAGAGTGCCTGCGACTCCACCTCGTCGTCGCTGGTCTCAGGGCTCCGACCCGGCCCTACCGAAAACCAGTCGCCGCAGCCTCCACAGACTCCTCCAGCTCGATCGTCTCGGACGTTGCCATCACATCGACTTCTGCAGTCTGAATATTCTTATTCTCGCCGTCCTTCATCTCACAGAGGTTCAGCTGGTAGTGACCACTGGCGGCGACCTTCAGCGGCTCCGCGACGTTGATCCTGGTGAATCTAATCTCGTCCCTCTCCATATCCAGGATAGCGCCGAGAGCTTTAAGCATCGGCTTGCTGACTAGCAAGGGAGTCCAGCCTGGCACCACGCACAGCCGAAGGAGTAACATCCTTCCGCCAACGCGGCACTGCATCTCAACCGAGTAGATAGACGACAGAGTCTCCTGATTTCCAAACTTGAACGTCGTGGTCCTCTCTTACTTTAGCACATTCACCTTCAATCCTGCTTTCATCATCTCCTGCTTGTGCTGCGCCAGGGTCTCCTCGCCGATCACTCCCTTACCGCATCCGGTATCCACGACGCCGTTTCCTGGCTCATGAGCTGTCGTATTCAGTACCTCCGGAAACTCCAAGTCGCCGTTCTGACCGCTGAGGCTCCAGTACTCCTGGATGAGGGCCTGCACATCCTCCTCCAGCTCTTCGTAAGCGCTGATGACCGCGTCCATCTCGTCCTCGGAGTTTACCTCATCGGGCTGAACGTCCTGGTAGTTCTGCAGCTCCATCTGTACCTCGTCCTCGCAGACTTCGCACTCGAAGCTGTCGTGATCGTCCTCGACAGTGTACACCACGTTGACGCCCTTCTCCTTGCCCTTGCCTTTGCCGTCACGGGGTGGCGGTCGTCGCTGTCTTTTTGGCTTCTTGCAGTCCCGACTGAAATGGCCGACCTCGTCGCAGTTGTAGCATCGCACTCGCTTCGCCAAGGTTTTGATGTCCGGCTTCTTTGGTCCGAACCCTCGCGACAGCTGTTCCTTGGATATCTTGTTGCGCTGGTCGCGCCACGTCACCAGAATCTCGATGGCCTCGCTCTCGTCCAGGACGGCGTTCTCATCCTCGTCCTCCTGGAAGCCAGTCATTAGCGTCTCGATGTCCAGATGGCCATCTTCTTCGTCATCAACCACGTGTGCGTGGTAGGACTTCTGCTGCTGGCCGAAGTCGGTCGTACCGTTGGGGAATGTCGTCCTCAGTGCCGATGCTACGTCCCGTTCCTTGTACGATCTCGACGATGCCGCGAGCACCACTGCCATACCTTGTGGTGGGAGATGCGCTCCCAACAGCAGCAGATAGCCTCGAGCCATGTCTGGCAGCACGACCCCCTCGGCCTCGCCCTTGGCGAACGTCGCCTGGGCCCTGCCGCAGTACGCCGCCATCGCCTCATTCTTCACCAGCTTCAGCGAGAACACCTCCTGGAGCGCCTCGCCGAGCCTGTCATGTGCCGCGACGTCCGGGAAGCGCGCGTCGAGCGTGTCGAACAGCACCTGCTCGCCGCCTTCGTCTCCAGGTCGTCCATGTCGATGATCTCCATTGCACGCGCCGGCACGTCGTCCAGCAGCGTGAACAGCGTCGGCCCCATGGCCGTCGGTGGTGTCCCCTTGGCCCGCTGCACGATGATGTACGCCCGAGCCCACTTCTTCCATACACGATAGTCGCGAAATGCGTCGGCTCCACTGCCGGCAAATCTCCTGATGCCGCCAGTCTGCCCAGCGTCCGTGTTCATCTGGTTGCGCACCGCCGGCACTCGCCTGAGCGCCTCCCTGCAACAGCGCCTGCTATTGCGCGGCCCGCTCCGCTCTACCAATGCAGATGGCTTCGAGAGTGGGGCCCCCGCCCCACCTTTCCTCACCAGAGGCAAGCCAAAATGCTGCGATGCAGACTCAACACGCACAGTGCACATCCAGGCCCGGCTGGGCCTCCAATACTTCAGAAGGGGCCCACTAGGGCCGCGCGTGACTACACACAGTCACTACGATCAGCAGGTATGGTTACGCCGGGGTGTGGTTTGCGATCGGCACCGTTGGGGCCTGGGGGGCACGACACTGTCCTCGTGGGGCCTCCCCAGGGCGCGGGAAAACTCAACCGAGGTCCCCGCGCGACCCCCCAGGGTGCCCCCCAGGATGTTCCCCAGGGTGCCGGTTGCAAACCGCACCCTTTGCAAACCTCACCCTTTGGAGTCGCCGAACCAGAGTTCTGAGCCCCTTTGCCTCGTAAGCCGATGCAGAGAGCTCAAGGGATACCTGAGGACAATCCACTTCGTTTCTACGGCACGGTGGAGGATGTATACACACATATATATATATACACACAAGACTGCAGTGGCGCTTCGCGCCATGCACCTTGGTCCTTGAAGTTTGGTATGCAGGCGGAATGGCAGGAAGGTCAAGCCGACAATTTAGCGATAATTCCTGGTTGCCTTTTTCTGGCATCGCCGCTATAATGAAGTTATTCGTTATCCTTCCTCCATGCTTCTTTTTCCTTATTTTCGCCACGCCCTGCGCATTCTCCCCATCCTCCTCAGCTATTTTTTGCGGAGGCTCCTCCATGGAGAGCCTCTAGGGGCCTCACAAAAGCTGGTTCAGGCTTTATTAAGGCCTTCTGGAGACCTCATGGGCGTATTCTGGGGGCCTCTGGGGGCTTCCTCGGGCCACACTGCCTCCAACCGCGGTCTCCCTGAACGACCGAATCACGATTTGGAATTCTTCGAAGGGTGTTTTTGGGCCATCTTGGGCCGCCATGGGGCTCTCTGAGGTCCATCTTGGACCCGTGTTGTGCCGTTTGGGGGTTCTCTTGGACTGCCTGGGAGCCCTTTCGGATGGTTGTGGGGCGATTTGGGAGCCTCCCAGGCGGCTTCGGACGCCCAGAAGACCGCCGTCTTGGAGCGTCGGGAAGCCGAAAAGGGAGAACCCTAAAATTCACCAAAAACCTACAGAAAATCAATGATTTTTGCCTCGGGGGGCCTTCTTGGGAGTGCTCTTGGAGGCCTCTTTGGGGCCGTCCTGGAGGCCTGTTGGGCAATCTTAAGGTCACGTCGGTCACTCTTGGAGCGCTCTTGTGCTGTCTTGGGGGTCTCTGGGACGTCTCCGATGACCCCCCTGATCGCCCTAGGTGTGCTGGGAAGGCTTGGCAAAACGCCACGTGAGGCCTGCTGGCCGCTTCGAAGCCCGTCTGGAGGGTCCCAAAGCCCCAGATCCCGGGAGTCCGGTTTTGGGGGGGGGATGGGTTTCCCCCCCGCCCGGGCTTGTAAAAATATAGGAAGAGGAATATGCATGTATATGCATGCGTGTATGCATACGGCATGTTTGTTTCATAAATACATATATATATATATATATATATACATACATATATGTGTATGTATATATATATGTATATACACGGGTATGCATATTGTTTGTCTTGCTATCATGTGCTGCAGCGTTTTGTTGACTCTATCAGCGTAGCTCTTCCAGATCCCTGTCAAAGAACCGAGAGACGGACACTCGCACCCATTACTGACACACGTAGACGATGCCAGCGAGGGCACGTACAGAGAGCGATTTCATATCAAGTATGCGCGCAACCGTTTGTTGGCGTAACACCTGCGAAACCGCCAGTGCGATGTGCTCGCTGATCTGGTGGGCACGCTCCCTGTGCTGCTCCCGGATTGGTGATAGTTCCCTGGTCCGTGCTCGCTGGGGTAGCCCTCTCGAGGGGCCTCGGAGTTCTCATCTCTTGGGCAGCTCGCTGATCCTTCCCTGCTGTTGACCGTCCGTCCATTCGCGCGTGGTTGGGTCCCCCCCCCGCACCGCCGCCCAGCCTCGGACGTCGAGGACGCGCGTGGCATCCACGCCCACGGGGGCACGACCTGTGCCCTCCGACCCGTCGGAGGCCCGGGACGGCCACCACTCCCGAGCTGCCAAGGTGCGCGGAGACGCCATTGCAGACGTCCCAGGGCCAGTGGACGGTGGCGACCGGCCACAACGAGACAAGGCCGGCCCTTGGCGGCGCGTCCCGATCCCAAGAGCCGACGCGGCAGACATCCCAGGGCCAGTGAACGGTGGCGACTGGCCACGGCGAGAAGAAGCCGGGCTCCTGGTGGTGCCGCTGCCTCGAGCAAGCCCGCGCGAGGCCGCGAAGAAGTTGTCCAACGTGGTGGACCATTTTGCACACGGGTGTTCTCTCGTCGCCTGGACGTCCATTCTCCATGCCTCGGGATAGGCCTGGTCGTTCACGACCCGGCCGGTGCCAGCGTCTGCCGTCTCTCTGGCAGTTGGCCCCGTGCAGCGGACGGTGGCTCGCGGAGCAGAGCGTGCATCACCCAGGTGGTTGTGCAGGCGCCCGATGCGCGAGAGGAAAGCCAGACGAAGAGGAGGAGAAGGAGGAGGACGACGAGGAGGACGAGGACCAGAAGGAGGAGGAGGAGGAGGAGGAGGAGAAAGAGCAGGAGGAGGAGGAGGAGGAGAAAGAGGGGCAGTCTGTACCACCCAAGCGTCATTCCAGCTGGATGGAAGGTTCTATTGTGCCCTTCCAGGGTCAGACATCAAATGCGGTCGGGCACTGGCGACAGAGGTGATGGGGCACCAGTGCCAGGGTTGGCGGGACACTCTCCGAGGAAGGGCGGCGTTCCGGAACACCAGTACTACCGGAGCTGCGCCGTGGCGGTTTCACGCTCCGACACTTGCTGCCTGCAGTTGCTGGGACCCCGCGGCACCATTTGGGACCAGAGGGCAGCCGCTTGCCGCCAGACTCGCCCGATCTCCCCGCCCTCGCTCGCGCGCGTGAGGTCGGCAACGGTCGGCCAGAGGACCCGCCTGGCGCGGGCGGCGGGGTGTCAGAGGTTCCTAGGCGCGAGTTGGCATGCCACGCGCGGAGGGCCCCGCTGACGCACCTTCCTGGAAGCACCACGCCACTCCTTGCGTAGTGCCTGGACCCTGAGATCCGACGTTGCGAAAAAGCTGCAACACCGCAAAAATTTACGACTGGAGCCCCAGACCCCATCTTTCTGCGTTATTTTTCGAGCCGGATCGATCTGTGAGGGTCTTGAGGCCCGAAACGGGGCGAAAACGCCTGTCGTGAAAAAATTGCAACGCCAGGATCTCAGGGTTTTGCGTAGTGCCTGGAGCTCGGGCACTCGACGCCCAGGGCCCCAGGGCTTCCACGCCTCCGTCGGCGCCGTCCGCCCAGGCCTGCAGTGCGGCCACCGGCCGCTGGAGGTCCACCGCGTCATCCCTTCCGAGTCTTGCAGAGCACGCGCTCGGGGCGGGGGGGGGTCAGACCGCGCCCCCTCGGCCGCGAGCGGCGCATGGAGGCGCTGCAGTCGAAGAAGAAAAAACGGCCAAAGCATAAGCTTATGGCGCTCCGTGCGGATTTCTTGGATCTGCGCTGGACCCCTCCCTGGCGCGCGGCGCGCGCCAGGGGCGGCGCCGGAATCGCCGCCGTTTTTTCTTCTAGACAGGTGTGCCAAGCTTCAGCGGCAGCGGCAGCTTGAGCGGAAGATTGTGGAGAAGCACGCAGCCACAAACACAGTGTGACAGATAAGTGACTGGTGGGATAGAATGACAAATATTATCCACGCATGAGTGTGCATCCGCCCAGCGTGGTCGGAGTTGACGCCGTGCCTGTCGTCCGTGGGGGAGTTCTACATAGCTGAATATCCACGTGTAAACCTGAAGCTTCCTGCTGACCATTCTGAGACCCACGTATACTACACACATTTGCGTGCACGTGCACATGCATGCCTGATTTCGAGTGGACCAAAACTCCTGCAATTACGGGTACATTCGCATAAAGTTGTTCAGCTGTTCTGTGCGTATGTACCTTGTCGTGCCATACGTATATAAGAATGATAGCACGTACAGTGCACATGGCGGTGGATGAGCATGCGCGCGAATGCGTGGAAAAGCAGCAGCTTTATGAGAATAAGACTTCCATGTTGATGTTGGAGCGGTCACAAATGGATGGGCCAGGCGAAAGACTTGCGCCAGTGTTGTCGTTGTCCTCATAACGTTGCGGAGGCGCCCCAGGTAAGTCCTGACATGAATCACAGCATTCTAGATAACCCCGGCAGGCCTCAGAAAGTGCCCACTGACGAGTTGGTCGGATATTTGTGCGGTTGAAGGCGAAACAGTGGAAGTCAGTAGTCATGTGTCGGTGTATTGGAGTGTTGCTCTCTTCTTTTGCGGTACGCGCCGCATGAAGGGACAAGAAACGGGAATTTGGTAGACGCAGCGCGGGCCAAATGCGAAAGGTTTCTTTAACAGCTATGAGGTAAAACGCGGAGTGGCAGGCCGGGGGGGGTGCCCTCCACCGTTTCACCCTTCTCCTCTCCACAGGCCGGTACACAGTGTGCCGTGGCCATGCCAGACATGATCAAAAATCCGGGGCATGGGGCGTTGGAAAGCAAACACGTCTCACGCGCCCGCGAGTATTGCAGTTTCGGTGGCTTCATCTCGATCCTTTCACGCTCGCTGACCTCTTCAATTGTCCGCAGGACGACTACGAGTTTGGTGACATCACGAAAAGTATAGGGCAGGTGGGCCGGGAGATCATCTGCATCTGTGCGCAGAGATGTATGCAGCTGCTTGCGGCAAACCCCGCCACCGTGCAAGCGCAGTTGCGCAGCATGAAAGAAGTTGAGGGGCTTATTTGGGGCCCCTTGGGAGGGGGTCTCGGGGTCGGCTTGGCCGAGATGGCTCTATCGAGATTTCCCGAAGAAGACAGATTCAAGCATCTCGGGGGGCGACTGGGCGAGTCTTGGGGCCGTCTTTGAGCATCTTGAGGGGTTCTCGGGGGGTCGTGGGACCCTCTTGGGGCCATATCAGGCCGTTTTTGGGAGGCTTCCTGGGGCTGTCTGAGCTTTCACCCGTGGCTATCTGCAGCCGAAAAGCTTCGGATGCAAAAACAAGTATATTCCCCTAACGCTGCTTGGACTTAGGGTTCTTTTGTCAGCCAGCGTGGACCACAAACAGTGATGTCTTGCACTCTCCGCGATGCAATCTACGTGGCGCAGCGAATCTGGTGCAATCTAGGTGGTGCAATCTAGGTGGCGCAAAGCAATGCAACGCAATGTAAAGCAGCGAGCAGCAACGCAAAGAAAGCAATGCCAATCAATTGAACACCATGCAAAGCAAAGCAAGGCAATGCAAAGTAACGCAGGCCCAGATGGCGATGGGGCGACGACAGTGACCACATAACCGCCAGACCGACAGGCAGGCCCAGAGCGACGTGGCGGCGACGGCGATCACATAGCCGCCAGACTGGCGGGCAGGCCCACTTCCTCAGGAAAAAATTAAAACCTAAGTGCAAGCGCTGTTTGGGGAACAGTGGATGGGGTGTCGAGGATTCGGCCCGTGCCCGCTCGTAGACGCCACTCGTAGTCATTGGGTAAGTCTGTCGAGGAGTCGCCCCGTGGTAGCCCGTGCCCGCTGAGGGTGGGTCTGTCGAGACTTCGCCCTGCGGCCGCCCGCGCCCGCTCGCAATCGCTCATTGTCGCTTGTCGTGGTCGCCGGGTGGGTCAGTCGTGGACGCGCCCCGTGGCCGCCCGCGCGCGCCCGTGACCGCTCGTAGTCGCCGCTCGTAGTCGCCGGGTGGGTCTGTCGAGGATGCGCCCCGCGGCCGCCTGTGCCTGCTCGTTGCCGCTCGTAGTCGTCGCTCGTCGCCGCTCGTAGTCGCTGCGTGGGGCTGTCGAGAATTCGCCCCGTCGTGGCTGGGTGGCTGTGTCCCCAGATCTGTCGAAGTGTCGCCGCGTCGCCGCTCGTAGCTTCCGCTCGTAGTCGTTTGGTTTGCTGAGGTTTCGCCATGTGGGGGCTCGCAGCCGCCGCTCGTAGTCGCTGGGTTTGCGTAGGTTTTTGTTGCAGCGTTGCCGTTCGTCGCCGCCGATAGTCGCCGCTCTCTTCCGTAATTCGAAAACCATGTAGCAGTCTGAAGCGCGCTGAAGGTCGAAGGCGTGAACACCACAAATCAAGTAAAACTACATTGGGAAGCATACGATTTAGAAAGAAGCTACAATGCGGAAACCATAGGGTGAAGTGTCTGGATTGTGGCTTTCGGCGCTCAAGATGCTTTGCAGAGTCCGAACTCCCTAAACGGTGATTGCACTTGAAGTTCTTATTTGGCTTCCAAAAAAAGGTGTATCGAGGTTTCGCCTGGTGGCCGACGGATGGCAGGTTGGTGGCTTGTCGTGGACGCCTCGTAAGCGCCCCGTCCGCTGGGTGGGTCTGTCGAGGTTTCGCCTGGTAGCCTGTTGGTGCCCGCACGCGGGCGCCTCGTACCCGCTCGTGGCCGCTCCTGTGTACCACAATGCGTGCGCCACATAGATTGCAACACTTGGCCTGCATCACATGAATTCTCTTTTCTTCAAAGAGAACAAACTCTACCCCCTCTCCCCCGGGATTATCGGCTCACTCTTTCGTATTGCAATTTACATATGTTTCTGCCCCATCGTCCATCGTAAATATGAGTTCATACCCTCCCAGCCGAGCCGGTATCCGCCCTCCTTCACCATTTGCTGTAAAACCTTACTATGCGCACACATCCGTTTTACAAAAACCAGCCATGTTCAATAATCTCTCACAAAAAACGGGACGAAGTGCACACGCGCGCGTCGTCGCGCGCGCGTCCCGAAATCGTTCAAAAACCTTCGCCTTCGTAAGGATTTCAAAATCGAGCGTCCAAAAAACATAGAAAACACAGAATTACGCAACATTGATTTTCAAACAAACACACACACACACACACAATGCACGCCGCGCTCTTGCGAATCCTTACGAAAACCATGGGTTTTTCATCATGTTCACTGAATGCTACCAAACGGGTTTCGCGCGCGCATGTCGAAGTCGTTCGAACGCCCTTGCGCGCGTGCCGTCGCGAGAAGCTTTGAGCCAAAAATGAGACGATGTTCATGCGCGCGCGTCGTCGCGCGCGCATACCGAAATCCGTCAAAATTGTCAGTGCCGTAAGGATTCCAAAATCGACGATCCAAAAAACACAAATACGTACATGAGAGAACAAATGGTTTCGCGCGACATCAGTATTCAAAAGAAACGTGCGCTCTTGTGAATTTTGAAGAAAAAAATCGGCTGTTCAACATGTCCATGGAATTCTGCCCAACGGGCCTCTGGCGCCGCATGCCGAAATCATTCGCACGGCCTTGCGCGCGCGCTGGGGGGGGCACGATCCGTGTCAAATAATACCACGCGGGCCACTCTCGCGCGTCGGCCGCGCGCCCATGTCGAACACTTTCCAAGACCTGCACCACCGACGCGAGGACGCCGTCATCGTCGTGAGCGTGATCAGCATTGGCGCCCGCACTGGCCGCGCCGTCGTCGTTGCCAGCATCGTCACCAACATCGCTACGATCACCATCGTGTCTACCATTGCCGACGTTGCCATGATACTGCGCCCGCCCATGTCGCCGACTCGCACTGAAGTGCCCGTTGGGATGTACCAAGCGGTCAGTACCACCGCGGCCGCGTCGGCCGCGCCAAACTAGCTGGCCGCTGCGCGCGCGTGCTTGGGCTGGCGCGGCCGCAGAAACGCACCAGCCAACGCCAAGCATCCACCGCAATCGCCACCGCATGGGTTTTGCAAACGAAATTGCGGGCGGGTGGCTGGGATGTTTGCAAGAGCGAGGAATGTGTCAATTCGTTTGTAAAATCACTTGCACCACATAGCCTGCAACGCGCAGATTGCCCCACGCATGCTGGACTATAATGAGTGCACCCAACATGGTTTTCACAACATAGATTGCACCACACAGGTTGCACCACATAGGGGGCGCCACATAGATCACATGTTGAACCACACAGTTGGCACCACATGTAAAAAAAACCGCGGAAGTGCAACAACGCAGCGTTTGAGGCCCACGTTCGTAAGCACACGTTCATGATATGTAGATTCACATGTGTATATATGTATGTGTATATATACACATACATACATACATACATACATACATACATACATACATTAGATGTATATATGTATTTGTGTGTAAGCAGTTTCTCTCTGCCGCCCCCCCCCCCCAGATCGCTTGCATGGCCACCCTTGATGGGTATGTTGGTTGTTTTTTTTTTTGTTCGGGTGGCTGGCTGGCAACTCGGTTGATTAGCTTGTTTCTGAAAACATTCATTGGCAATTGGTTTGGGATGATTGTTAGCTGGCTGTTTGCACGCGCCTGTAATAATTGATGGGGGAAGGTGGTTCGGGGAGCGCGGCGCGCCTGCACTGTAACGTACCAGGGTTTGAAGTTTTAATGCGAGGAGTTGGACGTGTGGTGAGGGGAAGCGCCCCCGAACACACATCCCAATACCAAAAGAACAGGTTTTCTGCTCTGGAGATTCCGTGGGGTGGCGTCGTGGCTTCGGGAGCGCGAATGTGTCTTCGGGGGCGCAAACTAGCGACACGTTTCAAAGCATCATGGTGTAATTTACGATGGATTACGGCTTGGGAAAATCTGGTACCATTTACGTGTGAGGGTTGGGGGCCGCGAGTGTTGTGCAATTTTCTAGGGGGTGTGGCCTCCGAAGCGCCAAGGCGTAGCAAGGGATTGCGCCTTCGGGGGCACAACCTCGTCGAGATCAAAAGACTGGGCCCAGGAGCTTGAACCAGGGGTAAGTTACCAGGGGGGGTGGTTTGGGGAGCGCGAATTTCGCGTTTGGGGAGCGCGAATTTCGCGTAATATACTTGGGATTGTGGCCTCGGGGATGCGAGCCTGTCTCAACTTGTTAAGGATTGTGGCCACGTGCCCCCCGGCACCCGAAGAAACTTCGAGGACCCCCAGAGGGAAGGGGGATAGGAGCACTTTTCGGGCTCCCCCCTCGCGCGGTCTTCAATCACTACAACAGTGGAGCTACAGAAGAGAAAAAAAGTAATCAGAATTTGGGAACTAAAACTGGCGCGGGGAAGACAGCCTCCGCCACGCAGCCTATTGACCTCCAAGGGGGGCAGCGGATACATGTACATACCCGTTGGTTCTTTATTGTTTTGTGCTCATCCTGTCTGTGCCTCGCTGGAGGCCCTCTTTGGGCATCTCCTTTGGGGTTCGTGGGGCCTCTTGGGGGCACACGTTGGAGATATTGGAGCCTTCGGGGGGCTCGTTGGGCCTTCTTGGGCTGGTCTGGGACCGTCGTCGTGCAGCCGCCCTGGAGCGATCGTAAGCCGTCCTCGCAGCCGTCGGGAGACGAAGAGGGAGACTGCGATCAACACGAAGGTGCGTCCGGACTTCGGGACGATCAGTTTTTCAATCCTGCAGTCTTTACTGGACTTCAGCATCGGGTGATTGGTTTCGGGCCCCAGTGCCATCAGAAATGGGCCCGAGACGGATAACAGCCACCATGAAGGGGTCGAGACTTCTCCGTAACCATTTTGGTTCAAGCCATTTTGGCTCAAGCCATTTTGGTTCAAGGCTCAAACTTGTTCCCTGGGGTTTGATCATTGCTGCTGCCGACGGGGAGGCTCGAGGGCCCCTCCTGGAGCGGGAGCTTCACATCTTTCACTGCACGTTTCTCCGTCCCCCTCCTGTCTACACTGCAG